CAGCACACCACACAGCTCGGTGTCAGCGGCAGACCTGCTGAGGGTGCCCTCCGTCACGCTCTCCACGTTGCCGACAGATGTTGAACAGCAGCGGTAAAGTAAATCAGCCTTTTGACGTGTTGCCGTTATTTCAGGTTTCTCTACAGCGAGCTGATGAAGTACGACCCGTCTAACCCTTCCGCAGCAGAAGAGAGCATTTTCGAGCCTGCGGGAGGAAAGAGACTCAGAATAAAGAGCGGTGTAACCTTCCACCTCTACATCAGGTTTGTGTGGGGAGCGATGGGTGTCGGCGCCGCTGTCGCACCCCCGGCCCTGCCCGCGCTGAGTCAGGGCTAACCTGGGGAGCGTTTGTTTTCTAGCACAGCGCCTTGCGGAGACGGGGCTCTCTTTGATAAGTCCTGCAGCGATCAGACGAGCGTGGTGGGACAAACCCAGCATCAGCCTCTCTTTGAGAACCCCAAACAAGGGAAACTGCGGACCAAGGTGGAGAATGGTGAGTGCGTTGGCTCCACGCGCAGTGGGGGGGCTCCGGTCCTCTCTCTGAGCCTTTCTGGAGCTCCAGAGTTTCCTTACTCCTCTCTCTGTGGTGCTGTTGGGGGATTTGAAGCGTTCAGGAACCAGAGGAGGTGAGTCAAAGGGATGGGGGCATTCGAGGGAGTCCCTTCTCCGTCCCCACTGTCCGTGTCGGACGGAGGGGCTAGAGCTGGAGTTTGCTGCAGAGCTTATTCTCTGACTTCCCTTTCAAGCCCAAATTCATTCTGCTTCTGCCACGTGACAAATGACTCGTCTGTAACCAGTCCCGAGTTCCCTTTTCCATGCAATAGTAATGCTCCCAGATCCTGGTGACGGACCGACTCCAGAGGTCACTCCATCCCTGCTCGTAGGAGATTGTTGCTTGGGCAGTTGCCGCTGGGGTTTTGATGTATTGAATATCTGACTCTACAGAAAAGCTTTTTCTCTGGTGCAGGGGAAGGTACCATTCCTGTGGAGTCGAGTGACATCGTGCCCACGTGGGATGGGATCCAGCACGGGGAGCGGTTGCGAACCATGTCCTGCAGCGACAAAATCTTACGCTGGAACGTGCTCGGCTTGCAAGGGGCATTGCTGTCACACTTCCTAGAGCCGGTTTATCTCAGCTCTGTCACCCTCGGTAGGAGACCCGCCGTCCTTTCCGGGTTGGGATGGATGTGCTGTCCCGCTCCTTAGGACTGGGAGCGACAAGGAGCCTCCGCTCCCCGAGCGATGGAAGGGTTTGTTTGTGGAGGCTGTGGGAGTAACCGACTGAAACGTGGTTCTTGGCAGGGCTGTGCTGCTTGGAAGTGAAAAGGGAGTTTGTAGATTCCACGCTGTGGGAGGAGTGGGTTTTTCTCCAAGGTTCTTGGTTTTTAGAAGGCGCGTGTGATCCGGGAGGGTGGGACAACAATTCCCTGTTTGTGCCTTTGGGGAGAAGCGTTGCAGTCCGTAAACCTTCGTCTTACACACCCAGGGTGTCGCCGTTGCCGATCCACGCGGCCGTGAGCTCGTGGGAAGCGCTGTGATCCTGGGCTTTGGCCTGTCAGCCGTGCCCTTCCCGTTTCCTGAGACCTCTCCGTCTGCCTTCACAGGTTACTTGTACAGTCAGGGTCACCTGACGCGGGCGATCTGCTGCCGCGTGGCGAGAGATGGGAGCGCGCTGCCGGGGAAGCTCCAGGCGCCGTATCACGTGAACCACCCCGAGGTACGGCAGGTTTGGCGCTTCTGCCTCTTTCTGTCCCCCCGTCCCC